ACTGACTGAACTGCTGGGCTCAGAGGGATTGTGGTCGATGGCACAGTGTCCGCCTGGAGTCCAGTCACTATGATGTCCCCGAGGGGCCGATACTGGGGGCCAGTACTGTTTATCTTCATTAATGACCTGGGCCAGAGGCCGTAAAGCATCCTCAGCAAGTTCACAGATGACCCCAAAGTGGGAGGAGCGTCTCATACACCGGAGGGCTGTGCTGCTCTTCAGAGGGGCCTCGACAAGCTGGAGAGATGGGCAGAGAAGAACTCGATGCCGTTCAACACGGGGAAGCGGCAAGTCCTGCCCCCGGGGAGGGATAACGCCGTGCACCAGGACAGGCTGGGGGCTGACCAGGTGGAGAGCAGCTTTGCAGAGAAGGAGCCGGGGGCCCTGGTGGACAGCAAGCGGACCACGAGCCAGCAACGTAGCCCTGTGGCAAGAAGGCCAACGGTCTGCTGGGCTGCATTAGGAAGAGCTTTGCCAGGAGGTCAAAGGGAGCGGCCCTCCCGCTCTACTCAGCCCCGGTGAGGCCACAGCACACCTGGAGTGCTGTGTCCAGCGCTGGACTCCCCACTGCAAGAGAGACGTGGATTTACTGGAGCAAGCCCAGCAAAGGGACCCCAGAGACGATGAAGGAACTGGAGCATCTGTCATGCGAGGGGAAGCAGAGAGAGCCAGGACCGTTCAGCCTGGACGAGAGAAGGCTCAGGGGGGATCTTATCCACGCGTGTACATCCCTGATGGCAGAGAGTAAAGAAGACGGAGCCAGACTCTTCTCGGTGGTGGCCAGTGCCGGGACGAAAGGCAACGGGCACAAGCTGGAACACCGGAAATTCTGTTTGAGCGTAAGAAAACACTTTGTTGCTGTGAGGGTGGCTGAAGAGGTTGCTCAGAGAGGCTGTGGCTTCTCTGTCCTTGGAGATGTTGGAAACCCACCTGGGCCCGATGCTGGGCAATCTGCCTTGGCTGACCCTGCTTGAGCAGGGAGTTTGGACCAGATGATCTCCGAGGTCCCTTCCAACCGCAGCTATCCTGTGAGTCTGTATTGATGTGTGCCACAACTCACCTGACAACGTCCAGGTTTCTGCACAGTTATTTCCGAAGAGGAGATAAAAAGCTGAAGAGCACAGAGTTACTGAGTAGCCAGTCAATGAGCTATGCATATGATGTCGTTCACATTAGAAAAGTTCTGGCAGAGAAGAAATAAGAAATCGTAAACATTAAAAAAAATAATAACAGGTGGGGGTGGAAGGTACAACAGTAAATCGTTTTCATAAATCCCAGTAAAGAGAAAATAAACATCTAAATATTGAACTACGAAGAGGCTACAAATCTTTTTATTCTCGAGATGTAGAACATCATGAATCGCTGATTTTATGTTACTTGATTTTTCTTCTTTGTGATGCACAGTTTTAGTCCTACACTTCCCTTACTTTATTGACCATTACATTCAGGATAAAAATGTATTAATAGTCAAACTCACCCCAAGTACAAACCAGCTAAATACTGTTCTCACTGTTCTCAGTATTTTTATTTATCTCACATGGGAGATAATGGCCTTACATGTTACATTTTGGCTCAGAAAAAGGTTCACGGTTTGTATCTTTATGTCTCATTGCTGCGATACGTCTCTCTATTTATGTTTTTAACTGGCTGTATTACTTTGTTGATATGATTTTAAATCTGCTGTCATATATTGTTTGTGTTTGGTTAGTAGAAATAAAAGGGCGAAATATAACAATAGAGAACTGGGACTGGTAAATGTCAGTTCTAGATAACGTGACAAATGAGTAATGCTTTGTTTCGTGGCATGTGAAGACAGCAGGTCTTTTATGAGCACTCCAATGTAAAACAGCTTCATTATGACTGGCATCCTTCTCCCTGAATCAGTGCTAAATCAGGCACACTCTCCTTCCTGAGTCAGTTCTGTAAGAAGCAAACCACTTTTATTAAAATCATAATTTCAGTTTGCAGATGGGACAAGTAAAATGCACACATTAGAGCCTGCTGTGTATTTATTGGTGTTATTTTTCAAGAGTTTCTACTGCCAGTAGCAGATGAACATGGTTGGTGAAAATCTGAGAATTCGGCTGCTTTTTTCACAATATGAAATACAGCTATGGATACCCAACTGTTTAGACATATAAGAGAGAATATAGGCGTCTAATGACTGGGTGTCATACTCTTTGAAAGAGATGTTGGTGTGTAAGTTACAGAGAGCTTAGGAAAAGGAATAAGAGAGCTAAAAACAGGTCCTTAATTCTGGGTGCAATTTATTAGGTTTTGTAGGACACTTCTAAGGCATCCACTTATTTTTAACAGAACAGTGACTTAAAAATACAGAGAAGATTCCTGAGGAGTGAGAGACTAAACAGCCATCAGACCATGTTAGAAGCTGTTATGTTTTCTTCAACTGAACTAGCCCAGACTTAAATTCTTCTAACAACTAGTGCTCTCAAAATACTCGTTGGCACTGTGCTTCATCCTTTGACTTTCCTCAACCATTAAGAGTAATGAAAGACACACCATATTTTTCAGTACCAATTCACTACTAATTTTTACTTTGTCCCTGCTGATTTGGTCCATTTTACATTTCCTATCTAGCGTATAACAGTGAATTGGGAAGCCTGTTTCTTTGGTGGGCTCTGACAGCAAAATCGCAGCAGAGTTTGAGAAGAGAAGGGTGATTTATGAGGGTTTTGGGAGGCAGGGAACAGGTGACTTTTGCTTAAAGGAAAAATAATGTTCCTTACTTAAAAAAATTATGAAGTCCAGCTCAGCCCGAACAAAAGCAAAGCCATACAGAGAATATATGTTATTTGCAATCATTACAAAAAGAGTTTCCTACAGAACAACCATTGCAAGTTATTGTAAATCTCTTGGGAACAGCAGTCAAAAACACCAGCAGTTAATTACTAGAACTTCCTAAATCAACCTTCTTTGGCATGACATGAAGTGAATGAAAGCAATAAAAGCAAGGAAGTGCATTGTGCTTTGTCCTGTCCAACTCCTGTTCGGACAGGCGTAGGTCATAAGCACAAATGTAACCAGCCATGAATTGTTTTTTATTTTAATTCATGGCCTTGGGTTAAATTACATGAGCGTGCTGGAAAGGCCAAGGTGTAGGGCCAGGTCCTTGGACTGCGTAAATCCTCTGACCTCAACTAAGATATACCATTTACACGCCTTCAGAGTATAGTCTATGCTCTAGTAAAACATCACAGAGTTTAGGCTATCCAGCTAAGAATCTACTTACACCCTGATATCTTGCTCTCCAGAAATTCATGGCAGTGCAAAAAGTATATCTTACAATGACAAGTAAAATTAAGGGGGAGATTGAACAATCTGTTCTTGTTAGGGGCTGCAAAGTATTAGCTCTAGGGCAGGTATGAGCTCTTGTTAAATTTTACAGTACAAGACTCTGGGAGCTTTTCCTTTGCTTTCCTCTCTGATTGTAGTCATTTCTTGAAGCAGAACGATTGCGTGCACTACTTAGTTTCTGGAACGAGTCTGGATGAAGGAGATTATTTACCATATTTGTAACCAGATCTGATAAAGAAAAAAACAAAACAAAACAAAATCTCCCTTCATATAGGCCCTGATTCAAAATCGATTTCTTCTTTACCATGAAACCAATCTGCAAAATCTAAAACATCTGCTTGATAAAGCAGAATTGTTACTGTTGTTCACTTACTGCTTCATTCTTGCCGTTATTTCTCACACTGCGATGCAGAAGATGTTTCATCAGACTTGCTGGTGAATTTCCCAGGGAAAGGAGTTGTGAGTCGGGACATGAATAAGGGAGCGTCGTAGGCTGTACATTACAGGTCTTTGACGCAGAGGGGAGTGAACGAGACGGGAACCCAGAGGAAAGACTGGTGTCTTAATTGAAGGGAAGGAACTAAAGGGAAAGGCACACAATAACAAACGAAACAGAAGTTGTATGCCAGAAGAGTTTTATAGGATCTCAAGATCTTTATAGATGTGGGCGAGGGGAAGCTGCTGATTGATATAGGCTGAAAGGAAGGAAGCATAATGAGGTATGGCCAGACAGAGCTCCCCAGACCTCGGCAGTTAATGCAGCCTGGGCGCTGGGAAGCAGAAGGGAAGGATTCCTGCAGATCAGCAGATGGGCAAATCGTGTTGGGAGCTTGCAGGGACAGGCCAGAAGAGCAACAAATTAGGCAGCAGGCAGGAAGTTACCTGTTAGCTTATGTGACTAAGGGCTAATCACCATAAATACAAAGGCCCAGTGAGGAACTGAGGATCACGGACAGGTAGAGGAACCCCAGTAACAGTACTAGCACCAAGGGAGCACCTTGACTTGGCTGCTCCCAGGGCTACCTCAGCAGGACTACCAGCCCATACTCCAGGTAAGACCCACCGAGATGGCCCAGCTGAGCCAGAGAAACTCTTCCTGGAAGGCCTTGCAGGCTGAGCGGGTTACTGCCTATAGGGGTATGGGACTGGCTATGGGATGCAGGTGAAGGGCATTTTGGGATTGCGTAAAACTTACTATGGGATGTCTTTAGGGGGACTGCGGGAATGTGCAGGACAACCCTTGGGATGTTTACAGGAAGGATCAAAGACAGGGAAAGGGAGAGAGCAGTGTGTTTAGGGGAGGAGCATGCATGGGAGAAGAGAGGGATAAGGGGATAAAAATGGCTGTTTGCGTTCAGACTGAGTGTCTAAGGCCAGCTACTGGAGGGACCCATACTGTGTATATACATATATATATACATATAAATGCATACATTTCATCCTGATCAGCTGAAGAGAAGGAACAGTACTGGGCTGCACGTGCTGTTCATGTTTGTGTGAGTGCTGTGTGTTGAAGTGGGTGCTGGTAAGGCACAGATTTTTGTCTTCGCTGGTCTGTGTGGCTGGCCGTGTGTATACACATATTACGTGTGATCATATAGGGGTATGCGTGCATGCACCCTTGGGAATATGTGCTGAGCCTTGCTACTGGCTGAACAGGGGGACGTGGAGCTGCAGCAGCCTCACATTCATCGGGGTCTTGCATTTGGCTGCATCTAGCATGACCTGTGGTCTCCTCAGTTGTTGTTCATCTGATCCTCACTGAGCCTTTGTGTTTACTTACTGGCTTCTAATTACATCACCTAGCATAACCCACTGAGGAAAAGACCAAGCATTTGGACACATACATCAGGTTATTAAAAAAGGAAAGAAATTTGGAGTTAATATAAGCACCATGAGATACCTGCAATCCACTCAGACCTTCCTGTGCTCTGAATGTGTGGGATGGGAGCTGGTTCCTTTACCGGCAAGTTCCTGAAAAAGATTATAGGACGTGGTCTACTCAGTTCAGCAACTCAGGAAATCTCCTCTAGTCCTTCGTTCCACTGTTGTCGTTTGGGGCTCTAGCCTTTATGAAAGTCGCATCACCGCTCTAGGTCTAAGAAGGTTTCAGGTTTACCCCTCTGTGAGGTTACCTCTCTGATTTCTTGCCTCCTAACCAATTCTGATGATTTTTTCCTCAACATCTCTGCAGATCCAACTTCTGTGCAATGGACCAATGGGTTTCTGATATAGTATTTCCTGTCATTTTTTAGGTAATAAACGTGAGAAGTATTAAAATATCATCTTAGTATATTGCATCTCACATTCAATATTAATCAGAAATCCTAAATTAAATACCATGTGTCCAGACTAGAACTTTACTCCTGATTCTTAATTGCATGGCACCCCAGTGAAACTGTGACTAATACTAGGTTCTGCTTTCCTGTGCTTTTCAATGGCATGAAATTAAAAAAAAAAGATTCTCCTTACCCAAAAAGCATTCAACATCTAGACAGACTAAAGACAAGAGAATTTATATCATGGATAACTGTAGCCTGTGATCAAAATCCAAAGTGAAGTCAATGCCCATGATCTTATTTTAATTACATGTCTACTCTCATCTTCTGTTCTTCATGATCAAAAATAGCTTCTACTTAGATGCATTCACCTGCTGTTTACTGGCCTATGACCTTTATTTTGATCTGTGGTTTGGGCTTTTCAGTTTACTGTCAAGGATTTTGGAAATAAAGGACTTTGTTGAAGGAACAAGCCACTAAGCACAGCTTGATCATGGTTTCCTAGGAAAGCTTTTATACTTATGACCAGTTGTTTCATACAAGTCTGCAATTCATTTCAGGACTTTAAGTGTGCAGAGAACAACGGGAGAAACAAACCAATACATCCAGCCAGGGAAAGTGATAGTCATACAGAAGATTTTTTTTTTAGTAGCTTGTGTACAGAAACCATGGTGATCATACCTGTATTCACTGCTAGCTCTCTGGACCAGGCTTGCGGTACAGTTTTGACTCTCCCTGGTATGCCTTTAAGCAGCCCAAAGAACCCATGTTTTAAAACACATATCTCTTCAGACTAAAGAATAAAACGTTCCATTTACTGCAGCACTGGGCCCTATTCCATTGCATCCCAAATAGTAGGCAAAATGAGGGAAAGAACTGCACAAGTTCCTTTGCATTCACAATAGTATCTTGTGCTTTTCATTCCTCCTGTTAAATCCTTGGGTTGACCAAGAGCCACTTCCCGCTGGGCTCCCCTTTTGCTTGTCTCCAACTCTTCCCAGTGTGTTTATGTGCCTTTGCAGGTGTGAACTGCCCTGAGGGGGAGTGGAGGAGACATGGCCTCATCCCTTCATGATAGACAGTGCTTTCATGAACTTCCATATCGTTATCTCAGGGGGCGAGGGGGTGTGTGTGTGTGTGTGTGTGTGTGTGTGTGTGTGTGTGTGTGTGTGTGTGTGTGTGTGTGTATGTGTGTGTGTGCGATGGGATGGTCTGATTTGTAGTACCCTGAACTCAGACTGAATCCTGAATGGCATAATTTCACGAGTTGCTATTGTCCTCTTGAGGTGGGAATTATCTCACCTAACTTCTTACTTTTAAAAGCTATGTCCGAACTAGTCACCATATACGTCCTTTAAGACTGGATGGACAGAAATATCCTTCTGACGTACCTTTGACAGCTACTTTAGGAAAACACGGCTCATGATCTGAAGGCTCTTGATCTCTCCATTGACCATGAAAGGGGCTGAATGTGATTACTTCAGGCACAGGTGTCTAGCATCTAGATATCCGGATAATACAGGTAAAGCTCAACTCTGATACAGCCCCTCCAGGCACCTAATTCAGCTGTCACCTCCTTTGTAGGTCATGTTCATTTTTTGCATGCTGTGTGACCTCTCATGGTCTGTAGCTATTGCCCTTGGAGCACTAGATACAAGACCTTGTGCCTTCAGAGGATGCTTCAAAGTTCTCTCTGTCTGAAACTGCAACCGCTCAGACTTTTAAAAGCTTTTCCCCCCCTTTCTTTTACATACATATTATAACGAATGGTATCTGTGTGCAGACCACAGATGGGTGCAAAAAAAAAAAAAAAACAGCTACAAAATCAGGGATTGTTTTCTGAGCTTTTTCTCTATGCTCTTTCAGAACTTGCAAAGGGTTTAACTACTTGTTCCAGCATCCAGATCAGTGTCAGTTACGCAAAAGAAGCTCTTTATGATCTCAGGCCTCCACAAGCTGCTTTCCAGCTCTGAGATTTTTGAGCACTTCCAGTGCAGTGTGTAGGAAACGGCCTCTGGTGACATTGTTCTTTCCGTGATGGTGCCAAAATGTGCCACAATGATTGCTAACAATAATAAACAAACTAAGCCATGCTGCAGTTGCTCTTTTCATAAATGAGGAGCAAGAACTGGAAATGCTCCTAACAGTCTCCAGAATAAAATTATGAAACTGCGTCTTTATCCAATAATAACGGCATGTGGTGTCCTCACCGAAGACTGTGCATGTCTTTCTGAAAGTATTTATGTGGTAAACAACACCACAATTTGTTGCTAACTTGTTAATATCTGATAAAAAGGCCCAGCTTGTTGAATAGAGGGAAGAAAGCAAGACAAAAAGAATATGAATTTACAGAGTGCCAGTATAAAGATATAAGTAGATAATAGCAAACAATTATGCTAAGAAAGAGCAATGACACACAAAATGAACCATTTTGCTCATTGAGCCCTCCATACCCTAGAAGTTCAGAGAGGACAAACTCTCCTCATGATCCCTGAACACAGTAAGTTACAAAGCAGAAGAGGAGCAAACTTCATTTGTTTAGAGCTCCGGAGCATCTCCTGACAGTGAAGGGGAAAAAAAAAAAAAAACCACAGAAATGTTTAAAGGGTTCCACACTACTGATTCAGGAGTCCATTTAAAATAATCAGACAAAAAAATTGTGATGGCCTAATTGTGTTCGCTCTGAAACTCATGGTAAATGTGTAGCACAAGCAGAGTCAAGTCCATTGCTGAATATTTTGGAAAATACTGCTAAAAATAAATAAGCAAAAGTTGAAAATTGATAACCAAACCCTTCTGGTTGCACTTCAGCAATTTGAAAATAAAAGAAAAAAATATAATAACAACAGTTATATAGATATAGCATATAGGAGTATATAGCATCAACAGTTATGAAATACAATAACAACAAAAATATAATAACACATGAATGCTGTGAAGTGAAGAGAAATTCAGAAAGGAAAGAATGTGACTTAAAATTAGGGGCATATATAGTACCACCCAATTGTGGTATCTGTTTATTTCTGTTGTGATATAGTTAAGGATACTTGGGAACCTCTCTGTTGAATGAGGTGTGTGTAAAGTAACTCATAGAAGAGCCTTACAGGCCTGCACAATTCTATCATCCCACTTCTGGGATGTTTGTGCCCTTACCCGTATTCTTCCTTGAGAGAAAGTGGTTGTGACAAGGAACGAAGGAAACTAACTACATTTAATAGTTCTATAGTCCATTAGGGATATGTCTGAAAGGTGAACATCCATCCTTATATGACTTTATCCTTCATTTCAGGATTTCACTCCAAAAAAAAAAAAAAACCCAAAAAAACAAAACCAGCTTTGAAGTATCTTGAATCGAATAAAACTTCATCATTGAGATGGTGGCTCTTAATTTGGTAACCATCAAATCATCAAAAAATAAAGTACTATGTAAGGCAACTAAAGTTGAAGATCTCAGTATGGTTAGTTAGTCCATTGGGCTGACCTAGTTAAGCTGGGTTCATTTTACAGCCATAGTGCACTATCACTGCTAAGACTGGAGACATCTGGTTCCCTGCGCAAATGCTATATGGCCACTTTCGTATGGATTAAGCGGGCGAGCCTTTTGATACAAACCACACTTCCCTCAAACCTCTGTCTGAAATTAGTAAGTGAAAACCTGTGCAGAAGATTGGACAATGCAGCCCAAGTCAAATGATGACAAAAGGACATTCTTCAGCAGTTAAGTGTGAAAGGAAGTGTAATTAACTCAGGCTTTGAAGGTCAAAATACACCTAAAAGAGACTGACTTACTTATATTTGGATAGGCCTGGAAGAAATTATTTATTACTCTTTAGAAATCTCTTTGATTACTATTATTATTTTTTCCTCTGGTGATTGCTCTAAACAACTTACAAGCTGAGGTTTCTATCTTGCTGTCGTACTTACTGGAGTAGATCTCTTTGGTAAGGCAGAGATGGTATTTGTTATTACTGCTATCATACCCAACCACTCAGGGAGAGATTCAGCTTGCTGATTAAAGCCTCAAAATGATAGTTTGGTTGCCTGATCTTATGCATCTCACTCTAGCTGAGATGACACAGGTGTGTCCTCACCCCTTGGATTAGCAGATAGAGGCCAGGTGAGATATACCTGGGCATAGCAAATACCGGAAGACCCCTAAGTTCAGGGAGCTGAATCATGCCAAAGACATCAGCCCATAAGGGGTATATCCCATTCATAATCAATGGAGATATGGTCAAAAGAGTCACTGGAGCCCATTCAGCTCATTAAACAGAGGTAGCTAAGGCAGATAAATCTGCTCAATAAATATAAAAGTCATAAATACATGAATACAAAAGTGCATAAAATACTGCAGAAATACTGATTTTCAGCCAAAATATAGTTTTGATTTAAGAGAAAAATTCTATTTTGTTGATGTGAAAAAACTACATCCATTTAACTAAAGAATAAGCTACGTCAAGATATTCTTTGTGTCAGTTAATTAGAGTGAAAAATTGTGCAACAGGGAATAAGTCATTACATCTCTGCTGTTTTTACTGAAGAGGAAAAAATGTTCTGGGCAAATGCAGAGTCATCAACCAGGTGCCTTTTGTGAAAATGATCAGTCAGGACCTATGGCCAGAGTACCAATAAAAGACTACTGAGTGTTCATTAAAAAAAAAAAAGAAAAAAGAAAAAAAAAGAAAACGGTAAGAA